CATGGTGAATCAAAGACCTCCATTTTATAATTTTTGCATTTAGTAGCAATTTGGTTAAATTCAAGATGGACGGATGAGGTTTTTTTTTCAACATCAAACAAATCTATTACGAGCTGTTCAGAATTGTTATCCATAACAGATAAATTATCTGTGTTATTGAAGTCACGGTTGTGTAATTCTAATAGAAACTGTGTTTTTCCATCTGCTAGCCAACAATTTCTTTTCACAATGTGATTTTGAATTTGATGTTGTGATGACACTATAAACATAAATGCATAAACAATAAACAATTTTTTTTACAAATTATTGTTATGCCCTATATTTTATATAATACTTAACATTTATTTCAGTAAATGAAAGTTACTGGTTTTAAAGTGATTTTAAATATAATCAAATAAACATAAATCTTGAATAATTTCTTATGTAATTAGGAAAAGGTTATTACTGAAATGATTTACAAAAAGAGTTAAAAAACTAATAAATATGAAAAGTATGTGAAAAAAGTCTTATCTTGATACTAAAATCAAATAACTGATCTACTAATTGGGTCATTTTATGTATATAGAAAAAGTGGATGAGCTACACTTGTTCATATAAAAAGATGGGTTAAAAAATTTTTAAATGCTGTCATAGAGTATTGCTTTTTATAATTCCAAACTCGTAGGGCATAATAATTAAACACCTATTCAAAAATAAGATAAAAAGAATAATAAAAGTTTTCAAAAACTAGTAATTTATAAGTAATTTATTTTTGAGTAGGTACTGTTTATTTGTTAATGTGACTTCTTATATAAAAATATTGGTCACAATAACACTGCTGTAATTTAATATGCTGTATGTATATATATGTATGATATATATGCTATAAAAATATATGCTAATAATTCTAGCGCAACGGTACTATCGCTTTAATTTTTAAAAAGTCATGGTAGTGATTTCTGTTTGGTTGATTTTTTTCTCTTTTATTTAAAGAATGCATACACAAACCAAAACCCTTAATATATGTATGTGCGCTCCACTGTGTCTATCCCTAAATCAGTCTATGTATGTACATTCACTGCGCCTATCCCTAAATCAGTGGATGCATGTACACTCACTGCGCCTATACATATATCAGTCGATGTATGTAAATAATAAAAAATTAATGTAACTTTCAATATACAATAATAATAATAACTTTCAATAAAAAATAGTTAAAAAACATTAAAAAGATTTACTAAATGGACTTGATATTAGATCGCCATGCAAGATGAACCTACGAGATACTTCAATGCTAAATGTACAATGCAAAACTGCAATTCTTTTTAAATTTGTCCAAATAAAACTTTTTAAATCAACCAATAATATTTGCAGCCGTGACTTAAAATAAACCAATCAAACTTTGCTACAGTGAATTTAAGGTAAAAAATTAAAGCAACAGTACTGTTGCGCTAGACACAACAAATTTAATAAATAACAAAATATAAGCATGCAGAGAAACTTAGAAACAAATCCTAGATCAACCAAGTAAAACTGCTGAAAGCAACTTTTGATAATAAAAAAATTTATTATAACAACTTTCTACATTCTGTGGTTGAACTTATTAAAGATAGTGGAAATGATAAAAAAATGTGTTTTAAATGCTACAGTTAATTATTGAATAGGTTATAATACTCATATAAACATTTGTATAATATTTATATAAATACTTCTGAATAGAACAGACATCTCTCGCTTGATTTACCAATCAGATGTTTAACAGTAATAGTTTTTCTGTTTGATGAGTCATTAATGATTCTCTCTCTCTCTCTCTCTCTCTCTCTCTCTCTCTCTTTCTTCTTAATTTTATTCTCACCAGTTAGATTTAGAATTTTTTGGGCTACAATAAGCATGTTTATTTTTTATTAAAAAGAACAATTATATTGATAGAAAAATGATATAGAACATAAGAAAAAGTTACATTTTAAAATGTTCTCACATGAAAATTGTTACAGGATGAAAAATACTTTACATTATACTTGCTGAAACTAAATAAAAACAAATTTATTTAACAAACCTTCAATCAGAGACTCAGAACATTCCAGAGATTTTACATGTAAATCTAAAGAAGAAGGGCATTTCCAGTGTTTTCTATTGACTTGGTCTTTTGCAATGAGAAATGTGATGTCACCCTAAAAAATCATTAAGCCATAACTATTGTTAATAAAAATTTTTTTAGATAATTAAATAAAAAAAAGAGTTTATAATAAATTCAAAAAATATAAATTGTTTTTATTTAATAACGTATTTACTATTTACTACAACCGTGTTTAATACATTGAGGTTTATTTTTATATTACGCTTTTAAAAGCAAAAGTGCAAAATCTTTGTATAAGAAAAAAAAAATTGTATTAACTCTTTGCATTGACCAAAATGCTACTTTTTACCTAAAAAATGAAGTTAAATATTTTTAATTTTTAAAGATTAAAGATTTTTAGTCATTTAAGTAAAATTGGATGACAATTGGAGACAAGAACATGGGAGAAGAAATTATCTAATTTTGAATTTTGAATTTTCTAAATGTCTAACCTAATACTTTTGATTAAACATGTAGAAGGTATTTTTCAATATAATAATTCATACATAAGGTATTTCTTATTTAAATAAACATATAGAAGGTATTTTTTGTTTTATTATTCATACAGAACTATTTTTTTATTAGATCAAACATACAGAAGGTATTTGTTATTTAATCAACAATACAGAAGGCATTTTTTATTCAATTAAACATGTAATGGTTATTTTATATTTAAAACATATAGAAGATATTTTTTATTTAATCAAACATATAAAGGGTATTTTATATTTAAAACATAAACATATTTAAAACATACAAAAGGTATTTCTTATTTAACTAAACATACAGAAGGTATCTTTTATTTAAAGTAATTTGTTTGTGTTTGTTAACCAGAAACTTCTTGTATGTTTATTTCATAATTAATTTTATTAACTTTGATGATTATTAATAACTTCATTGAAAATGCAATTATTGTTGAAAGTCTCTTTGTTTACAAAATAAATTGTAAAGATTATATTAGGAATCAAAACAGATACACAAAATTACATTTACATAAAAAATACATACTTTTTAAATAATAAATAAGAATATACTAATAAAATCTATAATATATAATACACTTTCAAAATTTTGACAATTTAAAAAATACATATTTAAAACATTTATTTTTGTAAATAATAATAGTTTAAAAGATTTACGGCTTTGCAGATGTGGCTCCGAGAATTTTGTGGCTCCGAGAATGAGCCACAAAATAATTGTTTGATAATATTTTCTTAAAACAATTTATGCTAGAAATTTTAAAACTTAACAAATCTCGAAAAATAAAATTGTTAAAACAATTCAACAGAATTCTCTAGAACTTTAGTTCACTTAGTGTATTTTTTGAACCAATAGAATTAGTTTGTTCGTAGATTTGGTGGGTTTTTAGAGTTCGCAAATATTCTTTTTATTCTATCCACCAAGATATTTTTGAGAATATTCAAGTTTATGTATGTTTCCATGTATGTCAGTAAAACAAAAATTTTTTTGTTTTACAGACATCATAAACTTAAATGTTCTAAAAACAACTAAAAAATCTGGCCAGTTTTTCGCAACTAAATATTATTTCCGCGGTTAGTATTTGAGAGCGAACGCTCCCGCTTCTTGACCAAGCCTAAATAGACATCAGCAAACAATGCCACCATAGATGCGAGAATTTCTGTGAGATCATTAATGTAAATTAATAGGAGTATAGAGCCAAAGATAGAACCTTCAAATACCCCTGAAGTTACAGGATATGAGGAATAGTGCTACAAAATATTTTATATTTTATTGTCTGTATTGGTATTGTCTGATACTAAAGTCAATTATTCTCAGAATAATGTGTGATCTTACAGTAATCAGAAAGAAACAGTTTAACCCACTGTAAGATATGTAAATCCTGTTTTTATTGCTAATGTTACTTCTCAACTTCTCTAGAGTCACACTTCTCTTAATAATGTTATTAAGTTTTTAGTACCAAAAAAAAATTATTTTTTCCTTAATAAAAGGAGACAAGTAAAGTGTTAATTTTCATGATCATAAATAAAAGTATGAATTAATGTTGTAAACTTATTTTGAATGGACAATTTAAATTTAAACAAAAAAAAATTCATTTTAAAATTATACTAACTTATTTTGAATGGACAATTTAAATTTAAACAAAAAAAAATCATTTTAAAATTACACTAACATAAAGTAAACATTGTTTTTCAAGAGAAACTTTAGGATTAAACATGAAAATAAGATTTTTACAAATTTGTAACTTTATTAAATATTTTATTCTTCAAAAAAATATTTAATAAAGTTACAAATTTGTAAAAATCTTATTCTTAACATAAAAAAAGTTATGTTTTATTACAATAAAGAAAGCTTTTAAAATCCAATCTGTAATAAATCTCCTTTTGTAATAAATCTCCGTTCTTTTGATAGTAAACATTTTGTAATAAATCTCTAATCTTGTGATAGTAAACATTTTGAAATAGATTTTAGCCAAATGGGTGGTTAATAAAATTTTTTTTGGGTGATATTATGATATAAACATGATATCAAAATAATTTAAGAAGCTCGTAAAAATATTGTTTAGAAGTAAAGTTTTCTCTATGGTCTGAATCAATTACAAGTCAATTATTTTGTTTAAATTTTATTTTACACCAAAATTAATCTGCAAAATAAAGAGAACCATTTGAAACCCAGTGAAATTGATATTTGCTGCTGAATTATCACTGCTAAAGCTCAGAATGATTTAATGACGCAACAAAAAACAGCTTATACAGTTACATTAGTCTAACGTATGTTTAAACCATTGTTTTACATATGTTAGACTATGTCTTAGCATAGGTTTATTGTTTTTATGATCTAAACCCAACTTTGATTCAATGTAAATAATTCAACATAAACTCAATATATATAGATTAAGATAGATCCAATGTATATAACCCAACATTGATTTAATGTATATTGATCAATCCAACATTGTGAGTGCAAAAATATATAATTTAAGTAAAATCATCGGTGAATATTGAAATATTAAACCACAAGCAAGACTACTTGTAAGATATTATTTCAATATTCATGCTAGCTGGGCAGAAAGGAACTTGAAAGTTCACCACAACACAAAAATACAGATAAGACTTTCTTTAGAAAAGATTAGATTTTTTTAGAAAAATGCAGATTAAACTTTTTTAGAGCATGTCTCTGAGAACATAAACAGAAAAAAAGTATTGAAGCAAATTAATTTTAAACAAAAATGTTTTATAAATAAGTAATTTTGAACCTCTGAACAAGATCGAAGTAATTTAGGTGTAATATCCTTTATTGTCTCCTTTTCCAGATGCAGAAAATCATTACCTAAAATATTAAAAAAATACAATATCAACAAAATTCTATACTATTTTCCAAAAATATATTTATAGCTAACTATATAACCATCATAAATTTTACCATCCTTTTGCAATTCTCAAATAAGTATTTGATTGTTGCTAAAAATTAATCTCAAATATTATTTGATTGTTGCTATTAATTACAGTGAACTCTCTATATAAGCAACTCATTTGAACCAATTTCAATAAAAAAGTTTCTTATTGGGAAAAGTTGCGTATAGGGAAAAAAGGAGTATAAAAACACTTGATTTCTTTTATTAACTAATCTGTGTACAGTAAATAAATTCAGTTTTGTTTTTTGCAAAGGAAAATATTTTTTTATTATTATTACTATCATATAAGCGTAGTTAATAATTTCATTAAGAAAAAAACAAAAATTAAAAAATCAAATTTTAAATCTTTGGTTTAGTACAGGACTAATTGCCAAAACAAACAGAAACAACTACATATATTTATTCACAATAGCTTTTTCTTTTTTTAGTAATAAAAGAACCTCATTGCAGGGTAAGTCATTTTCTTATGCGCATTCTATCATTAAATTCAAAGAATTTATAACATCATTCATGTTTTTATTGAAATCATTCAACATTTTTTCATTTTCTTTAACAGGAGTACTTTCACTTTTTACTTCATGATTTTTTTCAAGGTTAAATGGATGATTTGCTTGGCTTGTTCCACTTAACCACTCCATAATTTCAGTATCTGCTAAATTACAATAATTAAATATCAAATTAAACAATCTTGCCAAGGGAATATCAACATCTTCTGAAAATTGATCGGAAGGAATGTTGTATTGAATTACATCACTTGACAAATAAAGATGTTTAAATGAATATTGTATAACTGACACAGAAATTTCATATCATGTCTGCACCACTAAATAAATAACAATATTTTTCAGTGCTGAAACTATCATCTTCTGCATCTAAGGCTGCAAGACATCAAGACAAGTAGATGTTTACAATAGAGTTGTTTTAGTGACTTTATCACATTTTGATCAAGTGGTTGCAACAATGGTGTGTTATTATTATGTATTATTGGGGGGGGGGGGACATAACCTTTAAATTTGGATTATCAGTAAAATTATTCTCAGACCCGTGGCAAGTTGCACTATCTACTTACAGAAGGGCTTTTACGAGAAGATTTTCTTGTAAAATCCCTACTCTCACTAGATAATTCCAAAGTAACTGCAGTAACAGCCCTTCTCTCAGTAAATAGTTCCAAAATAGCTCCAGTAACTCGATACTCCCAAGTGTCGAGTTACTGGAAGTATGAATATATCATTATAACAGTCATTAAAAAGTGTATAAGTTTGTCAAGCATTTTTAGATGATTTGTAATATACAGGCAAATTCATATTTTTGAAGCAACAAAGAGAATTTAATTTCCCACTCATCATCAAATTTAATTTATGTATACCTGTAGCATTAACGCATGGCATAACAGAACCTGTAGCATTAACGCATGGCATAACAGAACCTGTAGCATTAACGCATGGCATAACAGAACCTGTAGCATTAACGCATGGCATAACAGAACTTTTTATAATTTCAGGTTATTTTTTTGTAAACAAATGATTTTACTTCTGAATTAGCCTAAACTTAACTCAAATATTTAACTTAAAAAAAAATAAGTTGCTTATACAAAACAGTTAAAGTAAAAAAAGTTGCTTGTATAGAGGTTTCTTATAAAGAATGTTGCTTATAGAAAGGTTGCTTTTATAGAGCGTTCACTGTACTTCTTAAGAAACATACCGATCAAAGATTGGCCACAGGTTCAAACAGAAACTGATGTTTATAATTTAAAAGCATGTTTTTTGTAAATTACAAAATTTGAGGTTAATTTTTAAATTAGTTGCTAATTTTTGTCATATTTGTATTCCTAATCTCTAATTACTCAAAAATTTAAACGATATTATAAATTATAGATTCTAATTTATTAGAATTGAATTATAGATCCTAATTAATTAGGTTATAAAGATGCTTAATTTGAAAGAAATTATTTATCTCAATTAACATGCTTAAAAATTTAAGTAATTATACTTGAAATTAAAGATTCAAAAAATATTAAACTTTTAAGAAACTAACTTATGTTAATGATGCATTTATGCTTCATTAAAAAAAAATTAATAAAGTTAAATAATAATTTTGATATTTAAAAGATTAGAGTTTATGTAATCTTTCCAAATATTATGTGTTTTACAGAATGATGAAATTAAGTGTTATAAGTTCCAATCAGATATCATGCAAATTGCTACAGAAAAATGGTATTTTAACTTTTCGTGAAGAAAAAAAAAAAGAAGGAAATTTTTGAGACTGAAAATAAAATATGTTATAGTAATGATGAAACATGTCTGAAAGAAACATGTCTGAAAGAACATGTCTGAAAAAAAATTCAAGGAATAGTGTAGTTAAACTATAAAATGATTATAATGAACTTATTGTTATTGTTTTTAGTAGAGCTAACAAGATTTGCTTTATGTCCAGAAGATAATAATTAAGACATTATCTTGAAAGTTACATTCTATTAAAAAGAAACAGAAACTGTTCATTGCTTTTTAGATAGGTGTGCTGGCCAATATAAAATCTGCAAATACTTTATAAATATATACATTAGCAAGATTTTGACATTTAATAAATAATTTGAAATTAGGATTTTAATTCAATTTATTAAAGTTTGTATACAAAAAAACTATCAAAATCTGAGATGGCATGATGTCAAGCATAATATAAATTGAGTGGAAAAACTATTGGACCAATGTAAGGAAACAGTATTTAGAAACATGCTTGTCCTAATAGCTAGTAGATGCAAAGCTGTTAGTAGATGCAAACATTTTGCAAAGTAAAAAACACATTCTGAAGTGTAATTTTATTTTGAGGTTGTTTTTTTTAATTTTATTTTCAATATCAAAAAAAATCAGACTTTTTGAGGTAAACATTATAACAAATACCAACATGATAACAAATACTAATTTGATACCAAATACCAAAGTTATAACAAATAACATCATCATAACAAACACCAACATGATAACAAAAACAAACATTATAACAAATAACAACATGATAAAAACAAATACAAACAAGATAACAAATATATATATATATTTTTTTTAATTATCTTCGCTTCCAACAAGGCTGCGAGCAACCACTAATTAGTGTTGGAAGTTACTGGAAGAGAAAAGATGAAGATTGTAGAGCAAGATAACGTTTGACAAACGACTTAAAAGATTGCAAATCAAAAATATGAATCAGGAAAGCAAGATGAAGGAAGCGAATTCCAAAGAACTGATGTTCGAGGAAAAAAACTAGACCATTAAGAGTTTTTGGAGCACTTAGGAACAGTAACAGAAAATGGATGAGACTTAATTGAATGACGAGTAACACAAGAATGAATTTTAGTAGATGGCACGAGAGACGCTAGCTCTTTTGAGCAGTGCCCATTATAGTATTTGTAGAAGAGAGAAAGAGAAGCAACATTACGACCATGTGACAGAGGTTGAAGGTTGGCTGCAAGAGCAGGTCCAACTGTGTTTACAATGCGTTTTTGCACTTTGTCTAAAGCAGAAAGGGCATCATTAGAAGATCCACCCCAGATATCTGGGGTGGATCTTCTAATGATGCCCTTTCTGTTTTAGACAAAGTGCCATATTGCCATATGGCAACAGTATTCCATACAAGGCTGGATTTGAGATTTATAGAGATAGAGAATAGAATCCAGAGTAAGAAAGTGACGAGCTCGATAAAGAGATGCAACTTTAGCAGATGCTAATTTTGCAACGAATTTGATATAAGGTTTCCAAGAAAGATCAGAAGTAAGAGTTAATCCTAGAAAATGAAGGGTAGGAGACTCATCGAGTACATTACCGTTTATAAACATAGGAAGGTCTAAACTATTGCGATAACAATTGGCTGAAAAAAATTGAGTTTTATCTGAGTTAAAGTTCACCAGCCACTGTGAGCCCCATGCTGTAGCAGAAGTGAGATCCTTTTCAAGCTCAGATGCCCCCTGCAAGCAATCAGAGGGAGTTGGCTTCTTATCGTGACAAGAATAAATGGTAGTATCATCAGCGAACAATGCCACCTTAGATGTGAGAATATCTGGATATATATAATATATAACAAGATAACAAACATTTAAACAAGATAACAAATATAAACAAGATAACAAATATATAACAAGATAACAAATTAAAACAAGGTAACAAATACACAAGATAACAAACAAAGCATATTAGTTACAAAACTTGATATTTAAAACGAGTTTGTTAGATAATGAGGTAAAATACGGCTTATTTTTATCAAAAAATCAATTAATTGAAATAATGTTTTCATCATCACTATGATAAATTGAATGATTTAAACATTTAAAACATTATAATTTTTAGTTGAAATCAAATAGATATGATTTTTTTTAAATAGAATTTCTGAAAATTAAATTAATAAATTTACCTTGAGATGTTTAGCAACAACCATAATTAAAATTCAAGAAATCACATAAATAATCACTAAAAATAAACTTACTATTTCTGTTGTTCATTTCAACTGTATGTTTTTCATTGAATCTGTAATAAAAAAAATATTAAAATTATAATCATAATAATAACAATAACAATGAAGATAAAATATTGATGAAATGTTGAAATAATAGATTTTTAAAATTAGAAGAACTAATCATTTAAATGTGTAGAAACAATTTTTAAATACAATTTTTATATGAAAAAAAAATTTAAATTAAGGAAACAATTTTTCAATTGTAAAGTTAAAAATATCTTGTAGGATCTTTTAAACTTTATGAAGTTTTTTGATCATCTTTTTTTTAAACACTAATAGATTTATAACTGTAAACACTAATAGATTTATAACTGTAAACACTAATAGATTTATAACTGTAAACACTAATAGATTTATAACTGTAAACACTAATAGATTTATAACTGTAAACACTAATAGATTTATAACTGTAAACACTAATAGATTTATAACTGTAAACACTAATAGATTTATAACTCTAAACACTAATAGATTTATAACTGTAAACACTAATAGATTTATAACTGTAAACACTAATAGATTTATAACTGTAAACACTAATAAATTTATAACTGTAAACACTAATAGATTTATAACTGTAAACACTAATAGATTTATAACTGTAAACTCTAATAGATTTATAACTGTAAACACTAATAGATTTATAACTGTAAACACTAATAGATTTATAACTGTAAACACTAATAGATTTATAACTGTAAACACTAATAGATTTATAACTGTAAACACTAATAGATTTATAACTGTAAACACTAATAGATTTATAACTGTAAACACTAATAGATTTATAACTGTAAACACTAATAGATTTATAACTGTAAACACTAATAGATTTATAACTGTAAACACTAATAGATTTATAACTGTAAACACTAATAGATTTATAACTGTAAACACTAATAGATTTATAACTGTAAACACTAATAAATTTATAACTATAAACACTAATAGATTTATAACTGTAAACACTAATAGATTTATAACTGTAAACACTAATAGATTTATAACTGTAAACACTAATAGATTTATAACTGTAAACACTAATAGATTTATAACTGTAAACACTAATAGATTTATAACTGTAAACACTAATAGATTTATAACTGTAAACACTAATAGATTTGTAACTGTAAACACTAATAGATTTATAACTGTAAACACTAATAGATTTATAACTGTAAACACTAATAGATTTATAACTGTAAACACTAATAGATTTATAACTGTAAACACTAATAGATTTATAACTGTAAACACTAATAGATTTATAACTGTAAACACTAATAGATTTATAACTGTAAACACTAATAGATTTATAACTGTAAACACTAATAGATTTGTAACTGTAAACACTAATAGATTTATAACTGTAAACACTAATAGATTTATAACTGTAAACACTAATAGATTTATAACTGTAAACTCTAATAGATTTATAACTGTAAACACTAATAGATTTATAACTGTAAACACTAATAGATTTTTAACTGTAAACACTAATAGATTTATAACTGTAAACTCTAATAGATTTATAACTGTAAACACTAATAGATTTATAACTGTAAACACTAATAGATTTATAACTGTAAACACTAATAGATTTATAACTGTAAACACTAATAGATTTATAACTGTAAACTCTAATAGATTTATAACTGTAAACACTAATAGATTTATAACTGTAAACACTAATAGATTTATAACTGTAAACACTAATAGATTTATAACTGTAAACACTAATAGATTTATAACTGTAAACTCTAATAGATTTATAACTGTAAACACTAATAAATTTATAACTGTAAACACTAATAGATTTATAACTGTAAAATACTCAGAGTTCTCACAAAAAAATAAAATTTCAGGTTTTTTAAGGACTAAATTCAAATTTTACAAGGATATTTGTCGTAATATTCCAGAACTTTTCCAGGATATTTCCCAAAAAGAAAAAAAAAATTCAGAACTTTCCATAATAAAAAAATTTCGAAAAAAAAATAAACACAAAACCTAGAGTATAAAATATTGCTTAAAAATAAACTCCATTCCAGAACAACCAAATTGAAATGTCTTCACAATATCAATATCAGGAAACATTTTTCTGAAAAATAATTCAGAATTTGATGAGGTATTCATAGAATGCCTCAAGTAAACAGTATTTAAAACTGGGGGTACTTCAGCTTAAAGTGTCAACGATTCAATGAACATTTGAATAATTGTTTTAAAAATACTTGATTCTGATTTAGCTTTGAAACAGGTTTTTAGAATAGGAGGAGGGGAAGTTAAAGGTAATAAATATGATTTGATGGTTTGCTTAAAAGGCTTTCTTTTTATATGCTTTTAGCTTCTTATATGTTTATCTTCTGAACCCAAGGTTTGAATAGCAGGCCTTGTTTTAAAGTGTTATGCCTAGAGCGATTTATGTATGCCTTGAGCGATTTTTACGTACGCGTAGAGCTGTTTTGGTTAAGCTACTTTTTATCATTTTTTAACTTTTAAATTAGGGGTAACATAAAAGAAGTAATTAATTTTTAAAAAAAACATTAACTTTTAAACGATATGTAAAGATATTTATTACAAAAAAGAATTTACGTTAAAAATAATTGTTGTAACTTTTCATAGCGATATATCTTACCTTTTTATAGCAAACAATTTTACGCTAAACTTTTTATCCAAATATTTAGCAACATGAATAATTGTTCATCAATCCTTAACTACAAATTTTCGCAATGTTTTTAATAAAAAGTAGTAATTTTTTAAAGTTTTCAGTAAAAAACTTTTAAAAAATCTATATTCCATATTTACTAATACAGAATATAAATGTTTTTTGTAATACAGATTTTTTAAGAACTTTTTACTGAACTCATAATAAAAATCATTTGCAAAAAAATTTGTAATTAAGGATTGAAATTTTTTCGATATATTAAAAAAGAATGTGCCAAAGAATGAACAATCTAATTGTATTTTTCTAAAAATTACTTCATTAATTCTTACTCTTTGCTTTTCTTATTAGTTAAAGGTATATAGATACCTTTACTTTTAAGTTATGCGGGGGTATGGGGCCGGCACAGAAAAAAAAAATTACCTGTTACTGGCAATTTTTGAATGAAGACAATTTGTTACATTTCTTCTGCGTGCAATTCAATAAGTTTTTTTCATAAATCAAGTTATATTATAAGGTAAAGAAATCACGAGTAGGCTATAACATCTGCTGATGACACTAATATTACATTGAATATTTTTATATAACGAAGGTTTGATTATGCACGCGCACATTACAAATTCCGTTAAATAAATACTAAGGCACATTTTAGTTTAATGACAGTCTCTATTTTTTACTAATGAATATGTATTTTTCTTTATAAAACAAGACAAACTAGTATATAAAAACCTTATATTATATATAAGGTTTCTATATACTATTTATATATTTATTTTTATATATATTTCTATTCTCTCTAAATTGTTTAAAGTTCGAATATGGATTGTATTTTAAAGGACAAAAGATTTACTTTAAAAACTTTTAAATCTTGGGACTTTGCCGATGCGATGAGCACAGAAAAAGAGAAGACTTACGGCATTAAAATCAAATGTAAGTTATGTGATCTTCATCAAAATAAAATATTATCTAAAAACAATGGTGCCGTAAGGGCAGCTGCCCTACGATTTATAAATAACACAAGTCATGTTAAAATATTTTAACATGTTACTATATTTTAATTAAGTTGATATATAAATAAAAATAAAAATACAGTTCAATAAATAAATTAAATTTGTTCTTAACAAAGATTTTCTCATATCTATTCTTTTTTTATTTTATTAAGTTAAATTGCTTACAAACAAAAAAAAAAAAAAGTTTTGTAATTATACATAGAATGAAAATACTTTTGAGTTTGTTTATAAGTTAAGCAACTTAATTTTTAATAAACAAATTTTTATAAACAGATACGATTCAAATTATTAAATATACTTATATTAAGTTGAGTATTTTTTTAAGTTTGCACCATTAAAGTTTTGCGTAGAAGTATTTGTTTTTTGTTTTAAGAATAATTAACAAAAGAGTTTGCATAATTAAGACTTATATTTAATTTAATTTTTTTTTTAATTTTCTAAAATTTAAAAAAAAAAAAAAGATTTAATTGTTAAAAACGATTTTTCTATATAGCTCTGTTTCTTTGTGATTTGTTTAAAATGTAAAGCATTTTTACAATAACATAAAAAATTTATGAATTAAATTCCTGGCGAACACATTCTAAACTATGTATCAAAAGTATGCTCAAAGCAGACAAAACTTTTTTATATTTTTATATAACGCAAGTTGAAACGCCAAGCAAGATAAATTTAAAAAATATTTAAAACCTAAATTATTATTTGCTAGTCAAAACAAAATTGCTGTTTATATAATTAACATGGGTTTTTGTCTATCAATATTAATATTTTTTGTTTACTCCAGAAATTTTTAAAAATAAAAAAAATCATTATTATTATTTATTCAATAACGATTTATAAACAATAGTTATTCAAAAACAAATTTCAGAAATAATTAAAATATATATATATACTTTTTTTTTTTTTTTACTAAATAATATTGAACTGAAATCAATAATAAAATAACAATTGAAAACATTACAAACTTTTCATAATAAACTTACATTTAAAACATTTACAGTTATTTAAGTTAATTGTTAAATTGAACTAGTTAGCAGTTATTTATTTATTGCGGTAGTTAAAACACTGAATGTCTATAAAAAAAATAATAAAGATAATTTTATGACGTCAAAATCGCGTTAAGCTAATGCATTAAGCACTTTTTTATTTAAAACAAGGCCTGGAATAGGTCATCATATAACCATTTTTCTTGAAGCGCACACACATTCTTAAGCATTTTTTAAAAATACATTACACAAAAAAGAAAAAAAAACATCTAGAACAAATCTAAGCATAAATAATTGTAAAAGCTGACTGCAAGTAAAATTACCACTTTTAAAAACTAACTGCAAACTAGTAATACTAA